CTCCGAAAATTACGTCAGAATACCGTGTGTTTAGAATACTGACCATAAAAATGACGTAACAAGAGACACAATTTCAGGGAATTAAAACTGTAAAGTCAACTTTTGTTCATTATTTGGATGCACGCTAACGGACACAAATGCCAGTTGGGAGAACGTTTACATAGACTACAGTCTATCATTTGGTGTTTTATTTAAAAGATCCTATAGTTCTGATGTAGTTTAAGCGTGTTTCAAACATAGCATGTTATTATTGAATCTCGCCAAAAAATATTGCATAAAAAGACAAATGACAAAGTTGACAATCAAAGGAGAATAGTGGACTGTGTTACAGAATTTGCTGGCATTAATTCGTCAGGTGTTTTACCAAATTTTGTAGGAACAATTAAAGCTCAAGAGAAGATAAGTTTAGGGTGCCCCATATTTTCTCGTAAAAGCCAAAATGGCGCCGGCGTAGTTGCAACCCCACCTTAACTTAAAATATACGCAAATGTTAACTCGTTGAAAATAAATTAGATTGTACATGGCAATGTAACTCGGATTCATTTTTTTTGAGTAGAAAGTCAAAAGCAATAATGAGTTTTGGAGCGCCGAATTTGAAATAATATGAAAAAGCTAATTCAGAGAATTTGTGTCCCCCGCTTAGGGAAAAAAGAAGAGCATGCGCAGTTGGGGGGGGGGGGGGCACACTGCCCCCTGTATTTGTAGAATTATTAAATGTCTACATGTATATCGAAGCAAATTGAGAAAATGCCAATATGGATATAGTCTGTATGTTGTTTAACGTCCCTCTCGAGAATTTTTCACTCATATGGAGACGCCACCACTTGCCGGTTGAGAGCTGCAAATTTTGTCTTATACTCGGCACTTACGGACATTGAGCAGTGAGGGATCTTTTTCGTACCAGCACCTACTGCGACACGGGACCTCGGTTTATACGGTCTCATCCGAAGGACCGGTCTCCACGTCCCACAGTTGAATTCGAACCCGCGACGTAAGGATCAACTCCTTACTTCGCAACTCTAGAGCGAACGCTCTAACCACTGCGCCACGCGGGCGGCCCAATATGGATATAAAGATTTATAATAGCCATTTATTGATGTTCAAATTTTTTGCGCCACTGTGTCAGTGTACTACGTCACAAATTTTTGAGTACACATATTTTTCTTGAGTACTGCACGAGCAGTGACATTTACTGGAAAGCATCGTTCTCTGGTCTGTACTGATTCAATGCATCTCTGGAATGTGAAGAAATTACTTATTTGGTAAGCCAATTATTTAAACACCAGCACACCCATATTTACATGTATGCATTTTATATATTATTCATGAAACATTATTTTTGATACTCAGATAATGGTCTATATAGTCGAGTATATTCGTTAATCATTACCTTATTATGTAAAATTACATTTATAGATTTATTATATTGAACATTGTAATTTTTAAATTATTTATAAGATTCATTGATAGGTCCCTTATGTATTGTTTAGGATAGATGTTAAATGCATTATGCTTAAACTGTGTATCTCAAAGGCAATAACTCTCATATTTTGTTGTAAACACGAGTTTCGAAAGTTAAATATTTTTTTTGCATATTCTGTAATATAATAGAACATAAACTTATAAAGAATTATTTTTGGTTATAATCTGTGATACTGATAGCATATATTCTGGTGTATATTACTAGTCTGAATTGCCTTGGCGTTGCCAATTACTAGTTCGAATTGCCTCTGTTTATTTGTATTGCATTGTGTTACAAGAATTTTTTGTTAACAATATTTTATTTTATTTACTTTACAGTAAATCGTATGATATGCCAATTAGAGGATGTCATTCGTATGACGTTTCATATGATGTGTCAATTGGAGGATGTCACTCAATATTTTTTGTACGCATGATGTGAATCTAGGAATCAATGGGAATTGAATAAAGACATTTACAATATATTTCTCTTTCTCTGGTCATTGACCAGTACATCATTTACGAATAAGTATCATCAACAGCCATGTGTGATACAGAGGAAAGTGATACAGAAGAGCAGTTAGGACAGAGGCACAGAGTGATGACAGAGAAAGGACTTGCTTATCATGTGAAAGAAAAGGTAAAGTTTAGAAGAAGTTGTGATAGGAAACTGTCAAAAGTAAGTGATAACATAGAACAATTACTACTGGAAAATCCAAACAAAGAAACAGTAAAAAATGAGTACAAAAATTGGATGCAAATATATGAGGACGTGATCGTGTCACATGAAGAATACCAAAAATTGTTGTATTTGACACCAAGCGAGAAAATCCTGGATGATGAGGATTTTCAATCTAGGAACAAAAGATTCACAGATTTGAAAGAATGTGTTGAAGAATGGTTATTACAACACACAACACCCGAAAACAAATCGGTGCGATCTAAATTCAGCATAAGATCTTCTTCAAGTCATCTTTCCATCGAAAAATTGAAAGAACAACAAAGAAAAGCAGAACTTATTGCCAGAGCCTCAGCGTTACCGAAGAAAAAGGAATTAGAAGAAGCTAAACTACAACTGAAACTTAAAGAGGAAGAACTGGAAATTGAAACAGAAATTGAAATAACTGATGCAAAAACCAAAATTATTGAGGAAATGGAGAAGAGTGTTTTGAGAAATTTGGACTTAGAAGAATCTCTGAAAGATGACTTCCATGCAAGTGATAAGCCTGAAACAAAAGAAACTGTTAATGTAACATTGAATCAATGTGCACCACCATGGGAAGACAGAAGAAAATCCTTTCATTCACATGTAACATCTAATATGTGTCAACCACAGAATACAGCTTATTTACATGTTCCTCAGTCTACATGTCTACCTCAGAATACACCTTATGTACATGTACCTCAGTATACAAGTGCATTTCAGAACAGGAATTGTGAACAGACATTTACTTCACATGAACCGTTACCGAGAAACATACCGCAGGACACATATAGTGCGTATATCCCTACTCCACCTCAGACGCCGGCTCTTCATGTCAGTGATAACGTGCCGCATATTGTTTCTGATGAACCATGTTCTACTGTGCCAATACAAACATCGTCCAATAGTGACCAAGGTATATTGACTGTCGCACGGGAACTCAACAAGCCTAAATCAGTAATACAAACTTTTGATGGAAATCCGATGGACTATAAGAGATTCTTAAGACAATTCAACACAAGAATTTGTTCTAATGCTGCTGAAGAACGGTTAAATTACTAATTGCAATATACCGCAGGTGAAGCGCACAAAATTGTGTTAGGATATTCACATCTGGATGCAGAACATGGATTCAAGGCAGCATTAGACGAATTTAAGGACAGATATGGGGATGCTGATATATTAGCTCAATCGTATGTAAAAAAGGCATTAGAATGGCCAGTTATAAAGACCGACAATGCGAAGGCCTTGGATGCTTATGGTATTTTTCTCAAGGAGTGTCAGTTCGCAATTGAAAATGTGGAAGCTGCTAGAGTTTTAGAATACTCGGAAAACTTAAACTGTTAGTGAAAAAGTTATCATACTACTTGCATGAAAAATAGAGAAATGTAGTGTATGATCTTAAAGAAAAGAATCAGATTGTGAAATTTCATCATCTCGTCAACTTTGTTTACAAAGAAGCGAAGAAAGCTACAGATCCTATATATGGGAGAGAGATTCTGAGCAATACTAAAGCATCAGTCAAAGGTTCACAAGATGGACAGCGTAGTCAACCTGGTAAATCAGTCAAGTTTTCTGGAACACACAAAAACCTTGCAATCACGATGAATGAACCATTAAAAAATGTTCAATCAGGTGCATGTGGTGATGTGTATACAACACAGAGTCAAAAGACTGGAAGTGTATTCTCAGATCCTTGTGTGTTTTGTAATGGAGTTCATTCACTGGATGTGTGTAGGAAATATGTGAACTTATCCTTGAAAGACAGATACTCATTTTTGAAGTCAAAGGGCTTGTGTTTTGCTTGTCTTAAACCTGGACACCTCAAGAATAACTGCAAGCAAAAACTGACTTGTAGACATTGTCAAAAAATTCATCCTACTATTCTTCATGTTAATCCACAGAAGAAAGATGACAACCGAAGGAATTCAAGTGATGGAGATGGCAGTGAAGCAACAGCTTTGTCGGTGGCTGCTTATAAGGGGGCTGGAGAAGCCGTGAAGCAGGCATTACCCATTTGCCTGTTAGACTAAAATCTAAGTATAGTGACAAATATGTAACAACATATGCCTTTCTAGATTCAGGAAGCAACGCCACCTTTTGTTTAGAAACTCTTGTACAGTCCTTAAATATGGAGGGAAAGCGAACTAAGTTGAATCTCATTACCATGGGACAAGAGAGAGTCCAAGACACTTATATCGTATCAGATTTAGAAGTGAGTGATATTCACGGAGAAAATACATTTGAACTGCCACCTGTCTTTACACAGTCTACATTACCAGTGTCCAGGAATGATGTGATTTCTCCGGAAGACTTACAAGAATGGCCACATTTACATGACATTGACTAGAATGTGATTGATTGTGATGTGGGACTTTTGATTGGTGTGAATGTACCAAAGGCGATGGAGCCTTTGGACGTTGTTCCTAGCGTAGAAAATGGTCCCTTTGCAGTGAAAACCTTACTAGGCTGGGTCATTAATGGACCACTGGAAGTGACTCCAAATGACAACAGTGATTCGTGTGTATCCATCAATCGCATTGATGCAAAGAGACTAGAGGAGCAGATTCGTAACCAGTTTAACTATGACTTCAGTGAGAGGACAATCGACGACATTCACGAGCCATCCAGAGATGACAGGAAGTTTCTAGACTTTGTATCGAACTCTATTTACTTTGAGAACGGACATTATAAAATTGGACTTCCATTCAAGTCTAATGATGTCAGATTACCAAACAACTAGAAACAAGCCGAACAACGGTTATTGTCACTTGCCAAACGATTCAATCATGATGAAAACTTTCACAGAGAATATTGTGAGTTTATGAACAAGATTATGAGTGAAGGATATGCTGTCAAAGTTCCAACTGAAGATAAGGAGCATGTGGATGGCAAGGTTTGGTACTTGCCTCATCATGGAGTGTAGCATGCAAAGAAGAAAAAGTTGAGAGTGGTGTTTGATTGTGCGGCTAGATTTCAAGGCACTTCACTGAATGATCTTTTACCTGGACTGAACTTAACTAGTTCACTTGTGGGTACACTACTGAGATTCAGACAAGAGGAGATTGCAGTGATGGGAGACATAGACAATATGTTTTACCAAGTTTGTGTACCAAAACAAGATGCAAGCTTCCTCAGATTTCTATGGTGGGAAGATGGAGACACAAATAAGAAGATCGTAGAGTATCAGATGGTAGTTCACTTGTTTGGCGCATCATCATCGCCTAGTTGTGCTAATTATGCTCTTAGAAAAACTGCTAGAGATTCTGAAGGACTCTTTGATTCCGAGATTATCAATACCGTGTTTAAGAACTTTTATGTAGATGACTGTCTAAAGTCCATAAAGACTGTTGATAATGCTACTGGCTTAATCAAGGATGTACAAAGACTTCTTACTCGAGGAGGATTTCACATTTCAAAGTGGATAAGCAATAACAGAGATGTTATGATGTCAATTCCAATCTCAGAGAGAGCAAAAGAAGTCAAGGGCCTAGACTTGGATTATGATGCACTACCGATAGAAAGAGCCTTAGGAGTTCAGTGGTGTGTGGAATCAGATGTGTTCTGTTTCAACATAGAAGTTAATAAGAAACCCCTTACAAGAAGAGGAATCCTATCCATGATAAGTAGTGTTTTTGATCCGTTGGGATTTTTTTGCACCGTTCATACTGAGGGCAAAGAAAATACTTCAGGAGTTAAGTAAAATTCAACTTGGATGGGAAGATACAATATCTGAGAAATTTTCTGACCAATGGAACAGCTGGTTTTGTGACTTACAGAAATTATCGGAATTTAAAATAGACAGATGTGTTAAACCTATTGGATTCGGAACAGTATGTTTTGCCCAACTACACCATTTTGCGGACGCTAGTGAACTTGGCTATGGGACTGTTTCTTATCTGCGATTGGAAAATGTAAACAACGATGTCCATTGTTCTTTCATAATGGGCAAGTCGCGTGTGGCTCCTTTGAAGCAAACAAGTATCCCAAGATTAGAAATGACAGCAGCAACAGTTGCCGTGCGTACCAATAAAATGTTGAAAGTAGAATTAGACATTCCTATAGATGAAACTGTATTTTGGACAGACAGTATGGCTGAGTTACGTTACATAAGAAACAAAACATCAAGATTTCACACGTTTGTAGCTAACAGACTTGCTGTTATTCATGAAGGATCAACGCCACAAGAATGGAGATATATCAACACTAAACTCAATCCTGCAGATCATGCATCAAGAGGACTTTCAGCAAAGGAAATAGTGCAACATGGACGCTGGATCCAAGCTCCAGAATTTTTAAGGAATTCTGATTATTGGCCAGAAACTCCTACAGAAAATTTGCGTGAAACACTAGATGATGATCCAGAAGTAAAAAAAGTGTCAGTGAGAGCAATATTAGCTGATGTACCCAAGGCAGAACCAAGCGTTGAACTGATGGGTGTTGAGAAACTTATCAACTATCATTCTTCTTGGTATATGCTACGAAAAAGTGTTGCATGGATTTTGAAGATCCGTACTGAATTACTCCGTCGTATTCAACAAAATAAACTTGCAAATAGTGACAACCTATCGCCTAATGAAAAGGTTAGATCTACACCAGATGACTCAGGACACATTTCGCTTCAGGATTTACAGAAAGCTGAAATCACCATTTTGTGTTATGTACAACATCAAACATTCTGTGATGAACTGAGTACTCTTGCAGAAGGAAATACACATGTGAAGCGAAACAGTTATGTACGAAAACTTGACCCAGTTTTGGATGAAGACGGACTTTTACGGGTAGGAGGACGACTTCAGCGAGCCAATATGCCGACTGAATGTAAACATCCATTTATCTTACCCAAGAACCATCACATTTCAACTCTGATTCTCAGACAAATTCATGAAGACTTGAAACACAGCGATAAAAACCATATGATGGCAGTTTTAAGGGAGAAGTATTGGCTTGTTCATGCAGCTTCAGCAATACGAAAACTTATTTCAAAGTGCACGATATGTCGTCGTCAAGGATCAAGTGTTGGAGAACAAAAGATGGCCAATTTACCAGAAGATAGACTGATCCCAGATGAACCACCATTCACCAGAGTAGGTGTAGATTATTTCGGACCATTTATCATGAAACAAAAGAGAAGTCATGTGAAACGTTATTGGGTTCTATTTACATGTTTAACCAGTCGTGCAGTTCATTTAGAAGTAGCAGCATCTCTGGACACCGACTCATATATCAACGCATTACGTCGCTTCATTGCGCGCCGAGGTCAAGATGCGATCAGACAATGGCACCAATTTCGTAGGAGCTGAGCGGGAGTTAAGGAGTGCCATCAACGAATGGAATGTGTCTCAAATTGAAGATTCTATGCTCCAGAGAAATATCGACTGGAAATTTAATCCACCTGCAGGATCTCATCATGGAGGTGTATGGGAAAGAATCATACGATCCGTAAGAAAGGTCCTGAATAATGTACTGAGAGAACAAGTTTTGGATGACGAAGGAATTCATACCTTGATGTGCGAGATCGAGTCTATTTTGAATGGACGGCCTATTACCAGATGTTCAGATCAACATGTTGACTTAGAGGCTTTAACACCAAATCACTTACTGTTAATGAAAACAAAACCTAACTTACCTCCTGGTGTCTTTGTGAAAGAACACAACTATTGTAGACGACGCTGGAAACAAATTCAATACATGGCAAACCTTTTCTGGAAACGCTGGACACGCGAATATTTACCATTACTTCAAGAGAGACATAAATGGTTTGAAGAGAAAAGAAACTTCAAAGTGGGTGATGTCGTTCTGGTTGTCGATTCTAATGCTCCGAGAAATTCGTGGCCCATGGGAATTATTGAAGAAACTTTACCAGATGACAAAGGTTTCTTGCGTCAGGTGAGAGTTAAAACTTCTACAAACAATTTGATCCGTCCTGTAGATAAATTATGTCTTATCCTAGAAATGGATTAATTCTGTAGATTTTGTGGACTTTGTTAGGATACTTAGGAACTTGTGTATATTTATGCAGGTATCATGACTTAACAACATTTGTGCTACATTAAAAAATTCTGTCATATATATATATATATATATATATATATATATATATATATATATATATATATATATATATATATATTTTTATCAAAACATTGTATGAATATTGTTTGAATTTAGGTTTTTTGGGAAGTAATTATGTCACTATGCTCCACAATTAGGGGGCAGGGTTATAATAGCCATTTATTGATGTTCAAATTTTTGCGCCACTGTGTCAGTGTACTACGTCACAAATTTTTGAGTACACATATTTTTCTTGAGTACTGCACGAGCAGTGACATTAACTGGAAAGCATCGTTCTCTGGTCTGTACTGATTCAATGCATCTCTGGAATGTGAAGAAATTACTTATTCGGTAAGCCAATTATTTAAACACCAGCACACCCATATTTACATGTATGCATTTTATATATTATTCATGAAACATTATTTTTGATACTCATATAATGGTCTATATAGTCGAGTATATTCGTTAATCATTACCTTATTATGTAAAATTACATTTATAGATTTATTATATTGAACATAGTAATTTTTAAATTATTTATAAGATTCATTGATAGGTCCCTTATGTATTGTTTAGGATAGATGTTAAATGCATTATGCTTAAACTGTGTATCTCAAAGGCAATAACTCTCATATTTTGTTGCAAACACGAATTTCGAAAGTTAGATATTTTTTATGCATATTCTGTAATATAATAGAACATAAACTTATAAAGGATTATTTTTGGTTATAATCTGTGATACTGATAGCATATATTCTGGTGTATATTACTAGTCTGAATTGCCTTGGCGTTGCCAATTACTAGTTCGAATTGCCTCTGTTTATTTGTATTGCATTGTGTTACAAGAATTTTTTGTTAACAATATTTTATTTTATTTACTTTACAGTAAATCGTATGATATGCCAATTAGAGGATGTCATTCGTATGACGTTTCATATGATGTGTCAATTGGAGTATGTCACTCAATATTTTTTGTACGCATGATGTGAATCTAGGAATCAATGGGAATTGAATAAAGACATACGCATTTACAATATATTTCTCTTTTTCTGGGCATTGACCAGTACAGATTTGATTGCTTATTCTTTAATGTGTGTATAGAAGATTATTTTTAATATACGGAATATTTATCGCACTGTAATAATGATTTTATGAATTTGTACACGCCAGGGAATCATAACTTTTACATTTCACATGTTGAATAGTATCATTTAGTTAATCCAAGAAAAAAAAGAAAAATTTAAAAAGAGAGGGAGAGAGAATCGTCCGGGGATTGAACCCGGGCCTCTAGCTTGCTAAGCGAGCAACATACCACTACACCACAGAGGCACTTGATTATAGAGCAAATTAAATGCAAACATTAAGTCACATACGTTTATTATTCCCTCGCACAACTAGTTGCGGAGGGGATATAGCATCGCTACTGTGCGTATGTGTTTGTGTTAGTGTGTCCCTTACAGCTTGTGGGCAAGATTTAAAGAGAACCTTTGCACTATCATTTTTCAGCCTTCACATACTTATGTGGCATTGTAAAAGGACGAACCCTATTCATTTTCAAGTTAATAGTTCTTAAAATATCGCGTTTTTACTACCTTCAAACCCTGCAATTTTATGTACGAGTTGACAATACTCACTTCCGGTAAATTTAACAGGTTAAAATTCGGGTCGTTTCGATAGAGCCGCTTCTGTAAGTTCTACTTTGTATTTGCGTATTGTCATTTTATTGTGCGTATCTGAGAAATTTTTTGTGAATTAAAAGTGTCATCTCTGTCACAGAGTAACTGAAATAATTTGATGAACGTCGCGGTTTCAATACCAAATTACCACACCACGTGTGTGTGTTTACAATAGGGGCCTGTGGAATTTAATCTTGAGGCGCACGTAATTCTTGAAAGCTATAAACAATGATAAATATAAAGTTTCACAAGTGTCATTGACATCTCAACACCGGTATATTGTCATTTTTCACTACAAAAAAATATTACTTCCGTGCGTATTTTCAGATTTGATGCATATTGCATGCTACTGTGAGGTTTACTCAGGTAGGAAAATTAAAGAAATTTAAAGCATACGTGATATGTTTCTGGTAGGAATAAGGGAAACTGCCCAATCACGTATGCTTATGACGCAACCCCCACCCCACCCCCGAGGATATCCACCTTGACTTTTGTTAAAATTTAATTAGTGTTGCAATACATTTTAATTTCTTTACCTTATTTTAAACTTTACATAGGAATACTGGGTACCGTTGATTACTAGGCCTAGATGATTGTATTGTGTTTAAAGTCCCTCTTGAGAATTTTTCTCTCGTATGAAGACATTGCCATTACTGGTGAAGTTCCTGGCGCGAGGGGATGCTCCGCTTAGCGGTGCTCTTGTATTCACGTTTGATATTGTCAAAATTTTACACAATAAATGTTTAATTTAGCCTTTACGAAACAGTTCTAATAGATGCAATTAGAATATGAAGTCCGCCGACAACCTGTATTATACGTAATAACTCTCGACATGCCCCTGTGCTAAATATAGTGTTAAGCGACTTTTAATACAATAAAAAAAAAACGGGGCAGGACACTTTGAGAGGGTCAAGAGAGCTTAAAATCTTGAGATATCGCCCGGAAACGAAAGCGTTACACACAGACGGAATTTATGAATTTACGACCTTGAACTTTGACCTTTTGACCTCAAAATCACTAGGAGTCTTCCTTAGACCACAGGGAGATGTAAAATTTCATTGCAAAAGCTCAAACAATTCCTGAGATATTGTACGGAAACGAAAGTGTTAAAACGGAGAGAATTTATGAACTTTGACCTCAAAATAGGGTTCTTCTTTAGGCCATAGGGAGTTGCTATGCAAAATTTCATTGCGAAAGCTCAAAGGGTTCTCGAGATATCGCGCAGAAACGAAAGTGTTACAAACAGAGAAACACAGAGGGACGGACAGACAGACCCAAATTAATATTCCCCACTTTCAGTGAAAGCGGGGGACAAAAAAAAAATATATACAGAAACAAGTCCGAGGAAAGACTTTTGTACGTTTTATTCCTAAACAGTAAGAGTCCTGTTACTCAAGATACATTTGTGGGAAACTGCATTGATACTTCAGTCGTGCGTTAACATTTGAACATTTTTAGCTTCTTCTCTGAAACCGCTTAACAAATTTCAACCAAATTTGGCATATAGCATCTATGGGTGAAGGGGAACAAAAACTGTGAATTTCATGGTCCCTGCCCCCCTAGAGCCTGAGGGGTGGGGCTAAAACCACCAAAATTTATGCAATCTTTAAAAATCTTTACTCCTGGACATCAAGCAGTCAAACTGTTGGCATGATTGTAATAAGTATTGAGCGCTCTACCAAAATTGTGAAATTAATGGCCCCAGGGTCAGAGTTCTGGTGCTAGGGTGCATTATTCCTTTGAAAATCTTCTTCTCTGCTCCTGGGTGTTAAATAAAGTAACTAAGTATATAGTTATGAAGAGCAAGAGTGCCTCTTCCAAAATTGTTAATTTTATGGCCCCTGGGTAAGGGGTTCTGGTGTTAGGGCGGGGCTCTATTGATTATATAGGGAAAATGCATTAATTCTTTGAAAATCTTCTCTGCTCCTGGGTATTAAATAAAGTAAGTTACTTAGTTATGAAGAGCAAGAGTGCCTCTTCCAAATTTGTTAATTTCATGGCCCCAGGGTCAGGGGTTCTGGTGTTAGGGGCTCTATTGATTATATAGTGAAAATGCATTAATTCATTGAAAATCTACTTCTCTGCTCCTGTGTTTTAAAAAAAGGAACTAAGTACATAGTTATGATGAATAACAGTGCCTCTTTCAAAATTGTGAATTTCATGGGTAGGGGTTGGGGGGGGGGGGGGCTCTATTGATTATAAAGTGAAAATGCATTAATTCTTTGAAAATCTTCTTCTCTGCTCCTGTGTATTAAAAAAGAGAAACGGAGTAAAAGTTTTAATAAGCAAGGGTATTTTTACCAGAATTTTAAACATCTGGACCATTTGGTCAAGTGTTCTGGTCCTGGCCAGGGCTCTATTAATTTGTAATCTATTGAGTGAAGTTATTCCCCTTTGCCATTCACCTTTGATAATTAATCACTGTAGATAATGTATTTGAAAGGTTAATAGAATAAGATAATTATGCAAGAATGTTTATTGTATAATTCAAAAAGTACTTTCTTAGTTTTAATGATCAGGTAGACTTGGAAATAATAGATGAATAAAAATGAAAAAAAAATAAAATCTTTTTAAATGTTCTTCAAAGGCCAAGTGAGGCAAATGTGAGAGGTAATAATATGGGGTTAAAAATAGATATTTTGTTAAAAGTTTGCATGGTAATAGTGATAAATGGGGGACAGATAGATTACAAACTAGACCAATTATTTTGTTGATCTTAATCATACTATTTTTCTTCCTTTGGACAACAAAGCTTCATTTATCAGGTTATGGATCCTCTAAATTGTTGTACTCAGGTGACCGTTAAGGCCCTTGGGCCTCTTGTTTTATAAAACAGTTCTCAGAACTTTTCAAATGCCCCTCGTATATACATGTATTTTCTCACAGAATAAACCCCATACATATGCTCTTACTTAATATTCCTCGTACTGTTGATTAATTTTCTCACTGATGTTCCTTTTATTGTTGATAAATATATTCATATAATATGTATAAAGTCATTGGTCATTTACAAAATTATTTAGTTAAAACCCACTCTGATTGTACACACAAGTACTCTGAAGATGATATGAAAAAGATGCTCGAGTTTCTGATTGACAATATCTGTAGATTTTTGGAGATCAGGTTTTCCAACAATTTGTTGGAATTCCAATGGGTTCCAATTGCGCCCCCTTATTAGCAGACCTATTTTTGTATTCATTATCATATGAAGCAGAATTTATTCAGAAACTT